TCAGGGCAGGAAAGATTGTGTGCGGTGTTGGATTTTTGCATGTTGAAGCCATTTCTGGTTCCATCACTGCTGCGCTTGTCCAGTTCTATCATCACTGCACTTTGCTTGGTTTCATCAAAATTCATTCTTCATTAGTTGGGGTGATTTTTACTGTAATACCCTTGATATGGTCTACAGCCACTATAGAAGTGATGATACACTGTATTATATAGCAATTAACATCATACAATTTAATTCATGGGCTATTCTCACCCAAAACCAAATCCCCTTGAGGTATGCATTGGACTTCCTGATCCTCTTGCATTACCCACCAAGCGCACCCAGGTCCTTGAGCAAAAGCAATCCCACAAATGAGTTTGCCTTTGCCTGAGGTGGGAATAACCCAGACTGTTTTCCCTAGCATGTTTTTTATGTGTACTATAGGGACTCTATATCCCTTTCTACAGTATGTAAAAGTTTTGATTGGGCAGGGGCAGCCTGATTGGCAGATCCTATAGTGTTGACTAACCAGGTGGCTTTTGCTAAACGCGTATCCCAGTGTTTGAAGGTCCCACCACCCATTGTACTCAATGTAGTCTTTAGCAGTCCATCATATTGTTTGATTTTTCTGGAGGCTGGTGCATGATAAGGGATGTGATACGCCTGTGTGTCTGTGAGGTTGTTATGGAAACAAGTCCCATTGTCTGACTCAATTCTTACTGGTGTACCGTGTCGCCATAAGACTTGCTTTTAAAGGCCCAGGATAGTGTTCCTGGTGGTGGCATGGGGCACAGGATATACTTCCAGCCGTCCCGTGGTTGCTTCCACCATTGTAAGCACATGATGCTTGCCCTGGCGGGTTTGTGAGAGTGTGATATAATCAATCTGCTAGGCCTCCCCATATTTATATTTCAGTTATCGTTCTCCATACCAAAAAGGCTTTAACTGCTTGGCTTGCTTAATTGCAGCACGTGTTTCACGTTCATGGATAACCTGTGAGATAGTGTCTGTGGTCAAGTCCACCCCTCGATCACAAGCCCATCTATATGTTGCATCTCTTCCTTGATGGCCTGAGGTATCATGGTCCCACTGACCGGTATATATAATTCACCCTTATGTTGCTAATCCAGATCCACCTAAGCCACTTCAATCTTAGCAGCCTGATGCACCTGTTGGTTGTCTTGATGTTCTTCAGTGGCCTGGCTTGGGTACATGAGCATCTACATGACGTACTTTCACAACCAGGTTCTCTACTCGGGCAGCAATATCTTGCTACAGTGCAGCAGCCTAGACAGGTTTATCTCTGCACTGCCAGTTGCTCTGCTTCCATTGCTGTAACGACCCCCACAGGGCATTTGCCACCATCCATGGTTCAGTGTAGCGATAAAGTATTGGCTATTTTTCTTGTTCAGCAATGTCTAAAGCTAGCTGGATGTCTTTTGCCTCTGCAAACTGACTCGATTCACCTTATCCTTCAGCAGTTTCTGTGACTTGTCGTAGGGGACTCCATACAGCTGCCTTCCACCTCTGATGCTTTCCTACAATACGGCAGGACCCATCAGTAAACAGGACATATTGTTTCTCGTTTTCTGGTAGTTTATTATACAATGGGGCCTCTTCAGCACGTGGCACCTCCTCCTCTGGTGACATTCTGAAATCTTTGTCTTTTGGCCAGTCCATGGCCACTTCCAAGATTCCTGGATGACTGGGGTTTCCTATTTGAGCTCATTGTGTGATCAGTGCAACCCCCTTACTCCACATAGCATCAGTTGCATGATGCGTAGAGGAGACCTTCCCTTTGAACATCTAGCCCAGCACTGGCAGCTGGGGTGCCAGGAGGAGCTGGGCTTCCATATCAATCGCTTCCAAAGCATCTTGAACTCCTTCATAAGCTGCTAGTATCTCTTTTTCAGTTGGAGTATAGCAGGCCTTGGATCCTCTGCATCCCCCACTCCAAAACCCTAGGAGTCAACTTCACGTCTCCCCTGGTGCTTTCTGCCAGAGGCTCCAGGTAGAGTCATTCTCCCTTGCTGCAGTGTAGAGCACATTTTTTACATCTTGCCCTGCTTGGACTGGCCCAAGGGCTACTGCATGAACTGTCTCCTGTTTAATTTTTTCAAAGGCTTGACATTGCTCAGGGCCCCATTTGAAATCATTCTTCTTTTGGGTCACTTTATAGAGAGGCCTTACAATCAGACTGGGATTTGGAACATGCGTTCTTTAAAAACCCCCAACACCTAAGAAAGCTTGTGTTTCCTTTTTGCTAGTTGGTGGAGACATAGCTGTTATTTTGTTGCTCACATCCATTAGGATCTGATGACATCTATCTTGCCATTTTACTCCTAAAAATGGAATCTGCTATGTGGGTCCCTTTACCTTATTTGTTTTATGGCAAAGCTGTCTTACAGAAGGATTTGGACTATTTTCTCTTCTTCTGTTGTGTTGCCTGTATGATGATGTCATCAATGCATTGCAGGTGTTCCGGAGCTTCGCCCTGTTCTAGTGCAGTCTGGATCAGTCCATGGCAAATGGTAGGGCTGTGTTTCCACCCCTGGGGCAGTCGATTCCAGGTGAACTGGAGGACCCCGCAAGTGAAAGCGAACAGTGGCCTGCACTCTGCTGCTAAAGGGGTTGAGAAAAACATATTAGCGATATCAGTTGCGGTGCACCATTTGGCTGCCTTTGACTCCAGTTCATATTGAAATTCTAGCATGTCCAGCATGGCAGCACTCAGCGGCAGCATGACTTCATTCAGGCCACGATAGTCTACTGTTAGTTTCCACTCTCCATTAGACTTTTGCATTGGCCGCATGGGACTGTTAAAGGGTAAGTCTTGCTGATCACTCCTTGGGTCTCCAGTTGACAAATCAGCTTATGGATGGGAATCAGGGAGTCTTGGTTGGTGTGATATTGCCACCAGTGTACTGTTGTGGTAGCGGCTGGCACTTGTTGTTCTTCAACTCTCAGGAAGCCCACAGTAGAAGGGCCCTCCAAGAGACCGGGCAAGGTAGACAACTGCTTAATTTTCTCTGTCTCCAAGGCAGCTATACCGAAAGCCCACGGGTGCTCTTTTGGGTGCTTGAAATACCCTCTCCTGAGATAGTCTACATCAGGGATGTATGGAGCCTCTGGGCCAGTCACAAAATGGGGTGGTTTTGCCACTCATTTGCAGTTAGGCTTACTTCCACCTCCAACAGAGTTAACTGTTGGGCTCCCCCTGTCACTCCAGAAATACGAATGGGTTCTGCCCCCTTATAGCTTGATGGCATTAAGGTACGCTGTGCACCAATAACTACTAGAGCCTTGTGCTCCTGTGGGTCTGATGTGCCAGGCCACCAAATCCACACAGTCCAGTAAACCATCCCTATCCTCCACCTGGCTGGAGGCAGGACCCCTCTAGCACTGGTTATAGGATTCTCTACTCATTTCTTGTAAAAATGGATTAGAATTTCTTTCCATAGGGTCAGGTTTATTTCCTTCCTCCCACGCTGCTTAAATGTTAATGCAAATGATGTGGGGTGGTCATCAACTTCTAGCTGATCGTGTTGTGTTCCTTTTTGCTGCCTCCCACTTTTCTTCTGCAGACAGAATTGACCCCAACAGCTGCTATGTTTGTCAGAGACATTCTTTCTTATATTTCTTTGCTTCTGGGGCTCAAAACCACCAGAGAGTGGTGAAGCTGGAGTATGAAAGAACAAATGAATGGCTGAGTTACAGGGTGAGCAGCTGTAGGACATTTAGAAAGGCTAAGGAAATAAAAAAGAAACCTGCTGAGATTGTCTCCTGAGAACAACCAAAAATATATTGATTATTCTTGTGGTGCTGCTAGGTGTGATTTATCATTGGGGAAACTGAGCATTTCTAAGAATTCAGGAAATTAAAAAAATAACTCAGGTGTGGTCTCAAGGACTCCCAAACATCTTTGAAATTAAAAGTCTATGTTTGGGTGTATATATATAATGCATCTACCTAATTAAAAAAAAAAAAAAAGCTTGGATTTAGTTTCCAGTCTCCTTTCAGTGTGTAAACTTTTTATTTCAAAACAAAGATTTAAACTGTCTCTAGCAGTTGGATCTTGCTGTGTTTAGTATTACCCCTGCTGTGTGTTTTCAGATCTAGATAAGACATTGAACTGAGGTCCTGACCTCTTATGGTCTTTAAAATTCCCAGAACCCATTTTGAAAGGGCGTAATTTTTATTTCCTGTTTATTAAATGCAGTCACTGCACAAACAGAGAAAAGATCCTGATTGACCCATGTTGTTTATGGCTGAAGGAAGTGGCCAAAGTAGTGTGGTTTCAATACTGGCGGATTAACGCATGTTAAGTTCAGTGTAGTTGGTATCTAAGTCTCCCTTCCACCTATCTGTAATTTGAAGGGGACTCAGCACATTTTTATGCCGTCACTGGAGAAGGTTGCTGGGTTTAATGCTGGTCTCTTTTCCATACTTTATTGTTTTTTAACATCTCTTTCAATCAGGGTAGATGCAGTCCCAAATAGTTAAGAGATTTAAAAAAAAAAAACAACAACCAAAAGCAAACCTCCCAAAATCCTCCAGAGCAAAGCCTAATAAACACCATTTGTTAGCACTTTACCATTGCTTGGCACGGTTAAGGCTTGTATCAAGTGTAACACAGGGTGCAATTGGTTTTACCTTGTGAGTGGACCCCCACTGTTGTTCTTATTGCCCCAGGGGGACATTTATCACAAGTGAGAGAGCAATTACAGTGCAGTTTAACTTCCTGTTAGTTTTTAAGAAGGGAGCCAACTTTGTTGTTGCGGGTTTGGCTGCATGTCATTAGTTTTGCAGCCCTTGTGCAGTCTGCTATATGGCCTGGTACGGAGACCTAGTGACGCTGCCTCCTTTAATTATAGATTGTGCTTATTTATAATGTATGACCAATTTTAATAAAAGGATATGCTTTAAAAATTAATGGCCTTTTGTTCCTACATATGGGACCCAGTTTAAGGATCTTTATTTCTATTTTTCCCTCTGTGCCCTGCCACCCCCTTCTGCTGCAGCGAACCTGCGTCCAGGGGCTGAACAGAAAGTGGTGTTCATCACTGCACGAGTCCACCCTGGGGAAACACCATCTTCCTTTGTGTGCCAAGGTGAGTGTCTGCATGAAGATGGCAGAACTGATGAGATCTGATTTCCTATTGATGCATGTATTGGGTTTGCATGGCTTTGGATCTGATAGAAGGCTGAGTTCACACGACAGTTTTTTCCACTGTGAGGATATTAGCAGAATCTCTCGCCTCTACCCAGCTGCCTCTCTTCTTGGAGGCAGTCGGAATATATTACCTCTGTGTCTTGTGAATGTTTGCTGAACTTGGCCAGAACTGGACAGTGGGCTCTGAAGCTATTTGGGAAGAATTCAGTCATACTCGTACATATGCAGTGCGATCAGGTAAGGCTCCTTTTCTTAGGAAAACAGGCTGGAAAAGCTCTGGGAGTGGTTTTCTGTTAAGTGCTTATGTTTTCTTGCTGCCTACTATCTTCAGCTTCTTTTCCACCACAAAGCAGTGACCCTAGTTCTCCAATTTAATTCTAAGAGTCTTCTATTTGTCTGAAGCTGCTGCTCTGACGAGTGCAGCTCCCAGTGGCTGACAGCTGTTCCCTGCACAAAGCATTCTTGCTAAAAATAGAAAGCAAATTGCCCAGCTTGTATTTATAAAGAGTTGTAAATCTCAGGCTTGTGGGTACAAATAAATAAATAATCCTGGCATGTGTTCCTATAACTTCATTGTATAGGTCTGAAATATTGTACTTATGGTATGTGACTTTCTGTGGTGGTAAATTGTCAATGGTGTAAATCAACGTAACTTCCTTGAAGCCAAGGCAATATTCTAATTTATTACAGCAGCTTGGATCTGGCCCTGCCTAGCCAATGAGTTGCATCAATCAAGCATATGCAGAGTTTATTATGTTGGCTGCTTGTAATGCCACAGATTGGTTTGCAACTGGCCCTGTTGGTACCTAAAGACCTCGGTGGGAGAGGTCTGGCACAGTTTCATGGTCTTCTCTGTGTGCTCCTTATCCTGGCAAGGTCCTATGTCTGGCATCTCTGTAAGGCAAAAGGTCAACATCTGTCACTTCTGCCATCCTAGCCTAATGGGCTAACAGGACGCTGGGCCTCTTCTTGCTGGCCCATGGAGTAGCAAAAGTAAAATCCTTCCTTTAATAAAATGGTGCTTCAGACTGAGAGCAGGAAAACTCAGTTAGTTTCCCATCTCCTGTGGTGGCATAGTCAATGCAGGGCATTATAGTACACATGATGTTTGTTAATGAATATGGATTTTTAACTGGATGCTTGGATTCTGTTTGTGGCTGCTGGCATAGCCCTGTGAAATGAGGGCTGAGGCATGCTGCTGAGGTGGTACTTTGTAAATGACGTTATTTTATTTTGATAATGGAGATTTTATTCAAAAGGAAAAAAAAAGGGACTGTGAAAAAGCAGGTGGCATGCTTAGCCTGATGAAACAACAGGATGGAAGTCATGCTCCGATTGTCTCAGAGAAACTTTGTGTTTTGTAGGAAAAATTAAAACAAAAAGAGAGGGGAAAAGATAAGAAAAAGAAGGGATCAGTCTTGGAGAAGCACATCAGAAACTTGCTGTTACTGCAGTTATAATGCACGCTTGACTCGCTTGGGAATGCATGGATTTGAAGGCACTGAACTCCACTGTGCATTGAGCCATTCTGCCTAGCGCAGATGAAGCTGCCTTGTGTGTGCAATTAGTGTAAGACAAGTAGAAATGGCAAACATTTCAAGGCCATTGCTGCGTTGTTTCTAGCACTGCCAAATGTGAAATTGGGTGCTTGCTCCGTCTTTGGTAAACTTTTGTGTGGGAGGGTCAAAAGAAGGGATAAAAAGGATCCCTTTGGCAGTCAAGTGAGAGCACAATGAGGAATTTTATTTCTGGAGTCTTGGGAAGCATTTTGGCAGAGTTAGGTGTTGCAGATTTAGTATCCAAATGCCAGCCCAATGCATATGGAACATGTCAGGATTTTTTTTTTTTTTCTTGATAGAGAGATTTCTTCTTGAATGTTTGATTATGCTCACCACCTGAAGTATTAAGATATGGAAGCTAATCCCAAAGATTCCCCAGGTTCAAGCAGCACCTCGTATATGGAAGATAAGAACTGTGACTGCCCAGGCCTGGAGAATCAACCTATAGGGCAATAGATAATGAGTTACAAGCTTTCTTTTTTTCTTCTTAATTTTTTCAGTCGATCTTGGGTTTCATTCAGTTCAGGCTCTGTCTTCCTCTTTAAAGCTCTAAGCTCATAACTGATTCCTTACTCATTTTTCTACCTGTCTTTGAGCTAGCCAAGTCCCTTCCTGACCTCTTTGCCCTGCTTTCTGCTGAGGATATATAGCTATGCGTAGTCCAAACATCAGCTTCCTGGGGCCTGACAGAAGCTCCCTATTACATCTTCCATTTTTTCAGTAAGGCAACATACCCTAAGAAGCAAGTTGTCCAGCCTTGATACGTCAGGATATACTTGGTCCTGTCTATTGGTCCTTTGTCCTACACTTTACCCACAGTTTAAACCTAAGCAAGGATCTTTGTGTTCCTGTGGGAAAAGACCATAAGGTCGTCTTCCCATCCAGAGCTGTACTGTTTCTGTGTCATCCTTCTTCATATTCCATTATGAAGAATCCACTGAAAACTGAATCTTGGATACAAATACCCCGTATTCCTGCAGATGTACAAGTATTGCAAACTTGGATACGCACCTCCGTCTCCTTACAGCTGTGGAGTGCTTGCAGCAGTAGCCAGACCTCCCTAGAATCATTAGGCACCTCATCCAGCAGTTAAAACCAAGTGCTAAAATATTTCACACATTGTGCAGCTGCTGAGCTGTAGCTCACTTCCTTAAAAGGCAGACAAAACCCCAGAGGGCCTCTTCATAGAAAGATGGATTAAGAACCTTTTGTTTCTGTTTTGGTGTTTTAAGAGTTATTACGATGCTTCAGGTTAGCCTTTTTAGGAAGTTTTGCTGATAGTTCTTAACTGCTTGTTGTGAAGTTCAGGGACAGAGATGGAGAGTTAGTCACCGGAGAATATACTCGCATGAATACCCTTTATATCCAAAGGTAGGACAGTGCTTTCCTCCTCAGGCTGTGACGGTCATCATGAACATTGATGCCTGTGTCATGTTTGGGGATGAGTAAGTAAGAGTAGGGTCTAGGATGAAGAGGACTGTTGTTTTCACTTTGCTCTTATAGACCATTTTCTAACCAACTGGAGTCACTGCTGCTCCTGCAGGGCTTTTATAGTGCAACACAAAACAGCTGTGAATTCATCTTACAGCTTGAACTCATCTCTCATGGGCTGTTCGCATTTCTGAGGAATTTTTCTGAAGTTGTGGTTTTAGATTCTTTTCCTTTCTTAGATATTTTTCCTCATTTTCCTCCCACCAGTATTTTTATTTAAGAAAATGTATGCTATTTTCTGTCTTCCACATTATACTGCTAAGGCAAGTAAATTATTAACTCTTGCAGATAGGGTCAGATGTCAGATAACGCCTGTATATGTATGTAGTGTGCACAAATATGCGTGTGTAAAATCTGTACAAGTCCCTACCCTCTAAACACTGGTGATAAGCCAGCTTTTCGAAGGCTTGGATTTTATCCAGGATCTGGCAATAGGAGTATTTTTTTCCCCAGTATTTTTACAGTCTTATTTTCCTTCCTTTGCTAGATTTTATTTCCTTTGTGGTAGATAAGCAACTGTCCTTCACTATTCATGTGCATAGAAAGTTGTGAGAGATGTGTGGTGACTACTATGTTTAAGTTTGTCCTGTAGGCTTTTGCCAGCAGTCAGTAATTGCAAGCTTAAGCATGTCTAGATGTACTTAGACATGTACTTTCATCATAGACTTAGCATGTTCTATTAGTAGGATGTTGTTTTTTGTCTTTTTAACACATTTGCCAGTGTGGCATCCGCTATGCCATCTAAATGCAAAAATGAAAATTTGTGCCCTAAGCATTTTACTTTAATGTAGTTTGCCAGGCTGGGAGCCCAGAATGGAAGACCCAGTGCGAGAGGGGAGGGAGAAGGATCCCACAGCTGGGTTTGCAGTTGCTGAGCATCTTGTGCTAAGTGTAATTTGACCTGAAGCTGACCTTGAAGCTTATGGGCTGAATAGGGAACAGCCATTAAAAAGAAAATATAAGGAAAACAGACACCTGGGACTCTTATCCATAAGAAATAGAGCAAAAATGACTTTTCAATCAATCTTTTTTCATTACAGCTGCTTAAATGAATGCTCCCTCTCGCTTCACCTTAAATCAGATGAAATGAAATGAAAAACCAGACTACACTGGGCAATGTCTCTTGGTTTTCTGTTAACATTCTTAGTTTGTGTTTTTAACCCCCACCCTCTTGCCAGCAGAGGGAAGGAAAAAAATCTGAAAACTTTCATATGAATTTTGTTTCAGGTTTAAAGAATGGGGTAGAAGGGGACAGACTGCCTGAAAACAAGGCTTCCACCAGCTGTCTCGGGAGTCCTGCTGTTGCACAATAATTCACTGGGCTAGTGGGTAGTTGAACTTGCTCTCTATGTGACCAAGGTGCTCCGTGTGCTATGAAGGATTTTATTCCTGGATAGATTCCAACATGGCCTCTTAAAAGTGGTGGCAGTTTTCTAGTTCACTTCATGGAGGCAATGCCTTCAAATCCTTTGAATTTGATCTTGCAGCATCCCTGAAGAGTTAGTAAGAGTGTGAAGTGGGACTTGGGTTGTTTGGGTTTTTTTGCTTGTGGGAAAGGCAGTTGTATGTGTGAGAAGAGTAATTTTGAAACTTGTTGCTCCTACTTGGAATTTTAGCCATCTTCTGTCTTTTATTATGAAGAAAGAGGAGGAATGAGCTGTTGGGGATAAAAACTGCTTTTCTGTTTCCGTCACTAAGCATAAGTCTTTTGACCATTGCGGCATAAGTGATAGTAACTGAAAGACAGGACAGGGCATGTTTTAAATGCAAGAGTAAATGCAGCTAATAAAGTCTTTACATGTGAAAAGAACCTTTCTGAAGTAACAGAGGTGATGACCTTGCTTAGCAGTTTCCAGGGGATAAATTTCTCCTAAAGAAATAAAACTGA